TCAACCATTGTGACCGGTTAAGTTCGTGCCTGAAAGTCCTGCTTCAACAAGAAGAGCCTGCCACCCATCAATGCTGCATGAGTTCCGGTTGTAAGACATCTCACCGATCTCTAAAGAACATTACCGCAAGGCTGGACAAAGGGGGGTTGTGGCTGGGAGGGCCTGGGCATTGGCGGCCTCTAAAGAGGTAGCGCTACATCAGCTAGATAAGAATATAGAAGAAACATCCTAGAAGGCACTATCCTTGTAAGCCCCCTAGTTCAACTCTGTTTGAAACAGTTTTTATTTTACTACAGTATGTACGTATGTCAGGATCAAATAAATATCTTACTTTCTATACAACATGCACCATACTAAGAAAAACACTTTCAATTTTCAACTCACTTGTTGCTTTACCTTGTTCGTGGCCAGCTCTTGAAAAGGTCAGAAGCTTTTTGTAAAGGCTGAATGACTTTAAGTAAACCTTTCCTGCATCTTTCTCAAATATAGCTTCCTGTGGGAAATAAATAAATAAAGCACCTTACGAAGCCATTTATTGGATGTGAGGAAAATAATCACAGTTGTCGAACAAGTATAAACATTCTTTTCTATAATAATGTCAATAATTAAAATAGTCAATATATAATGACTATTACTCCAAACTAAATAAATTTAGTCTCAGATCCTCCTTAAAAAGTAAAATGTACAGAATCTCACATTTCCCATCAAACTCTTTATCTCTCATTTTCAGAAAAATCTCAAATCTCAGTCTGAATCTCAAACTGGATTGTTCCAATTTTGGAATGAACTATTTCTTAAAAGCCTTTCTGACTATAATTTGTTGAATCACTTCCAGAGCAACTGAAATGCCTTTTTCCAAAGCCAGAATTACTTTTTGATCAGACAAGTTTCCGAACAATCTATTCTGGATTCAACGCATTCCATTACTGAATATTTTGTCTTTCCCCAATTTACTATCTGGCCAATAAAACTAACTTTTTTTGTAAGATATTACAGTACTTACTTCCCACTCCTCCAGGTTTTGTACAGCTACAAAGAGACAGCCAACAAGATAAAAAAGTTTCCAACCCAGGCTATCTGAATGACAAAATAATATTTCAAATTATGAATACATTTCTAGTTTATACTGCATTTAAATTATTTGTAGGCATTAAAATGTGGCTGAAGATAAAATTAAGAATCACATTCAACTAAAAGGAGAAGGAATAAGAGTAAAGGCTAATTTAAGACCAGCTAGTATTAAAAACAATTACAAATGCTTTCAGCAGCCCACTAAAAGTAATACAAAAATGGGGAGGATAAATGTGCCCTTATAAAGGACTGTAATGATAGAAGCTGATACATGCCAACTGGTAATAATGTTTTAAACTGGCAAGACACCAAACTAATAGAAAACAATGGAGAAATTGTTGTGCAGAGCCTATTGAAGCAAGTACCATGAGCTGCCATGTAAGAAGAGGAAGGCAAAGACACCATCATCACTTGCTCTTACATTAAGGAAAAATTGGCCATTTTGCCTCTTACATTTTTATTAGAAAAATAGTCATTCTGCATAATGGGGGAGGATGTTCATTAAACCAATATTTTTTAACATTTTCACACTTCCTCTCTTCCTTATGAGGTGTCTAGAAAAAATGGAAATGTATACACTATAGAGTTCAGAACTGAAAGTAATTCCTCTTGAGCACAACACAAATCAGAACATAATAAATTTAATAAATTTAAAAAATTTACATAAATTTAAAGAGAAATATGAGTGTGTTTTTTAAAGATATTAACAAGTAACTAAACTTTTCTGGTGAATTTACCTTCACTATAATAAGCAGCAGCTATGCCAATGGAGGAGATCCCTATAGAGAAAAAGGAGAGAAATTAATTTACAATTTAATTCTACTATTTAAATATCTGATTAAACTATATAAAAATTTTTGCACTTAGAGGCATTTTAGGTAGATTAACTTCAAAAGAATCTTCAAAGAAAATAATTAATTCTAGCTATTTTCTTGAATTCAGTACAATGACTGCTATTTAGGCACTAAGATAAACACGTTGGAAATCTAAATGATTATTGCATATCTGGTGCTTTAGAGCTAGTTAGCATAAAACATAACAATCACTTTCAGAATTTGTCCACTTCCATCAATTTGACTATACATCTGATCAATTCTAATATTTCAGAGACTAGTCAAATCTTTATTACACCTGTTCTAGAAGAAAAAGACATTAAAATTCTCTGACCTGATTCTCCTGCTATTTTTTCCCTGCTGAGCTAAAAGGATTTGTAAAGGATTAACATATAATAATGAAAGGACAGTTAGAAATAGCAAAGTGCCAACTATTGCATTATC